AAAAAACAAAACGCACTATGTTAAAATTTGCCCCTACCTTAAAAGCCAATTTATTTAAATAAATAAATCTAATTTATTATTTGACTGAAAATGATTAAAGCACTGATGGATTGAACTTTTCCCAAGAAAGTAATCCTAAAATAAACATTTTTCCTCAGAAGACACGCTCCTATCATGTGATTGGAAATGTAAGGCAGGTTTCATTGCTCAAAATAAAATTCGTAACCAGATCCTTTCGGATCGAACGTAAACATGGTTGAGAAAGTTTGCGTCCTATCGGTTGTTCGTTGTTGTAATATTGCTTTGTAAGGGCTTAAAACAGGGGTAAATTTTGAAGCTGGAATGGAAAACAGGAAATGAGAAGTATCAAACAGAATATGTCTCTACAGATTCGTCTTTTTAGGCGACGGAAATCGGGAGTTATGGTCAAAATACCGCACAGTACGAAATCTGGATATTTGCCCCTGTCAACATCACGACCGCACTGGCGTCTGCTGTGCGTGACAAAACAAGCATCTGTCGTGACCCGTGCTTAATGGGTTAAAAAGTAACGGGAATTCTTATTTGCTAATAGAAGGTAGTTTTTATCATCAGGAATTACTCCCCCAGAAAAGGGTCAGTAAATGGCGTAAATTACGATATAATATCTTACGTTTTGAAACTTTCTTAAATGTATCGCTAGGCCTAACATGACGTTACATAACTTTCTTTTCTCTCGAATTTTAGGGTAGCTAAAGTCTAAGCTAATATTTTCGAGAGGAAAAAATGCAAAAAATAAATAATGATAATAATGATAATGATGTAGCTGTACTGTAGCTGTAATTTCCTGGACATCCCTCAGGCCACCATCAGTGAGCAAGAGTCAAGGAGATTTTGAAACTCTTAATATACGATGAATTTTGACCTGTAGTTTCCTCAATTACTGTATTTCCTAACATGAGCCAAGGATTAATTTCACAAAGCAAGTTGCAGAATGAATTGGAACTCATTCTTACAATGGTGACTGAGTGTCACCCACACTTGTTACTTTATTCCCAGAACAAGTCTATTTCTGCCCTTTATTCCACATCACAACATGAATAAGTATCTGATAATTGGCCTTTACATTAAAAAAGTGCTCTCTACCAAAAACCAAACAATGGTTAAAAAAATTCATTGATGATTTCAACATGCCACAAAATTAACAACAAAGTGCTGAGCTGGTGGACTTAACCCTTTAACTCCCATGAATGAACAATACAGAATTTCTCCTTACAATATCAATACAATATCAACCAGATAAGTGATGAGAATAAAGAAAAATATCAATTTGGGGATAATTAGTTGATCCAACCCTAAATTCTCTGAACTAACATTATAAGAATCGTACAGTTGATAACAAGGAGAATTAAAATTTTTAACTGGGAGTTAAAGGGCTAATTAGTAACTTCACATAAGGAAAGATGCCTTTTTGGGAACATCCTCACACCAAATATAAGAAGAATGTCCATCATTTTGCAGTTGGATTAGACAGCAATTTCAACATTGGCAAATATCAACTAGGTAAAGAACTCAAGCGTGTGTAAATGAAGAATCACCATCATGGTACCAAAAGATGACATGTGCAATAACAAGGAAACTCTGTAACAAAGGTTGTTTCACAATTTTACTGAACACACTGGTGTTGTTGCACCATACATAAATGTTACAAATACCGTGAAATTGCTTCATGGCAAATAAATTCTAAAATAAACTATTATGATACCAAAACAAAAATTACTGCTTTATTCCTGTATCATAGATGCTATTCCATGGTTACAGCAGAGTCACATCTTTACTAGGAAAACACCAATAAGAGTAGTCAAAATAGTGAAGCCCACAATCTAATAAAACTACATTGTCAAAGTGTGTTCTCACTCGGGGCCATGTGAGTAATCTTGGGAAAAACAAACCCACAAGAAGCTCCCTTGAAATCGCACTATTATGCACTTCTAGAGAAACCTGGGATTAATCTCCAGCATTTCTAAATATAAACGAGAGGCATCCAAAACATTTCCATTTGTCTAGTGTTCACTAGAGTACCCTCGAAAGAGCCAAACAATTTTCCTTTACAGCCAATAATGACGCAAAATTCACCTTGCAACACAATTGCAACAGATCGAAGTTCCAACATCGAAAGACCCGATCCAAGAGTAACACACCAGGATGTTAACCATGAAATTGACCACAACCAAACCAGGAAAGAAAAAAATCAGCCATCTTTCGTAGAAAAATCGTTCTTCAATAGAAAGACCTCTTAAGATTGTATATCAATCAAAGACGTTGTCTCACAAGGCGACAAAACTGTCTGAGGCCTGTTCTAAACGTCGTGCTACTGCCGTGCCGAACTCAAATGAAAAAGTAATTTCGATTTAAGCACGGCAGTAGCACGCCGTTTGAAACCATTAAGCGCGGCACGGCTGAATTAGGTTCGGCACGACTACTTAGCGCGGCAGGCCTTGCCGTGCCGCACGGCAGTAGCACGACTTGATTTCAAACGTTGTGCTACTGTCGCGCCGAACTCAATTCATAAATTAATTTAACGTATTTTGCATTATTTGCATACTATTACGCATGCGCACTAATAAAAAAAAGACAAATGGCGTCGTGGCGCAAAAATCTACCCGTTTTGCCCGAAGGCTTGAGAGAAGAGGAATCCGACGGTGACAATAGCTCCGCCGACGTTTCCCGAACTTTTTTAAAAAGATGTTCACCTGCATCATTCGACAGCTATTCTCCAGATAACGACAAAGAGACTGATTCAAACGAATCCGACACAGGAGTCAGTGAACAGAGTGAGGTGTGCAGCTCGAGGAAAAAGAAGCGAAAGGGACGGAGAAGCGTATGGGAAGAGCGACATGTCAATGATTTAGTAGATGTGATAAGTAGCTAGAACTATAAGAAGAAGTTGATTTTCACGAACACGAAAAATTCGAAGAACGCAG